ACCATAAATGGGAAAGTTCATATATTTATAAGAAAAATTATAATGTTACAAGAACTGCTATTTATTCCAGGCATTGGGAAAGACAGGGGCCATTTTGCACATTAGAATAAAAATGCCCCATTAAAATTTTGAAGTTTACTATTGATACAAGGGCAGTGGCCCATTCTAAATTCAGAAAATGGCTAATAATCCTGAAATTTTTGAAGGTCTCCATCCCAATCCCTGTATTCAATATATCATTATCAGTATATTTACAGCATGGCAAAGAAACAATTTGACACATGCAGACCCCCCTATCCAAAGTAAATTTATAATGCATTTTCTTTCACATTTGCAAAACCAAACAAAAAAATATTTCTTGTATCTTTGAGTCATTCTGTCACCTGAACTTGCATACAATCATCCCTTGGACTTGGAAGAGAGTAAAATTATTAAGCCTACCAACTAGTTTACAAAGTATTTATATTAGTACCTCAAGTATTTATACACATGCATTTTACATTGCATAAAGCCAATTGTCTTTATTGAATATTTTGTAACTATTCCAAATTAAAAAACTATTTTTTACATTTCAATATTGATATTTGTTATAAACTATTTGATCTCAAATAGTTCCTAACAAATATAAATATATCGAATATGTAAAAAATAGTTTTTAATTTTGAATAGTTACGAAATATTGCTGCAGCATAACAAATGAATTTAGAAAGTAAATAACAAATTAAACAAACAAAAATATTCTAATTTGGAATTACATACTTTAATTGAAAAGGGAAATGAGACAGAGTCAATGTGGCCAAATATCAATAGAACATCAGCTTGATAAAGTTGGTAGCACATGGCTGTTTACTGAATAGCAGTATATTAATTAATAGTTTTATTAATTCAATATAAATACAGATTACTCAAATGCATTTTACGTTAACCATTTCATTGATTCCCGAAATATGTTTAGTGACAAACACTGTCCGCGATACTGAAAAGAAACACGTTTAGCGATAGAACTGCACTGGTTGTCAAAAATATATTATAGCTAAAGAAAGGTACTCATATGTTTTCGAATTGACTCATGGTTGTCGGTTGTCAGTAAGGAACCGATAATCCTTGAAGGAATAATAATTTTTCGATCTTATCGTCCCCAAATCATCCAATTATTACGACTGTCACCAGCTGTGACAGCCAAGCATGGTAGTACAATTGGTCCGGTCTAGTAAGGTCATATTAGGCGGTCGCGCAATTTGGCACCACAACTGGTTCTTGCGTATTCGCTTGTCACACACTCCGGCACAGCGATGACTTAACATAACATCGCTGCCACAGGCTAATTTGCATATCACGTGACCGGACTTTTCTCTTGTTTGTAATCAAACGCGCATATTCATAATTAGAAGAGACTGGACCCACGAAAGCTTTTCGGCGCTCTCTTCATAATGTTTTACATTGTTACATATATATTCTTCCACAACTGCGACAGTTAGGTCTATGACAGTACATATTTAGATATCAAACTGGCTGCATCGTTTGCTCTCCGTCGGCTTCGATGACAGCACGTGGAGCCGTACAACCTATGTAAACAAAGGATCGCTACGCAAATCGAAATAGTGTTACATGTTTAATAAAACTAATTCATTCTAGAGTAAAACAAATCTGCACATTATATTAAATGAACGGTGCAAGATGTGACGAATCGTCACACTTTTCTGGCCTGTGGCAGAGGTACTATGCTGGCTTGCCGCATGGAACTCTGGGTAGGAGAGTGCGCTTGTCACCGGAAATCTAGAAGCGGAAGTAGGGCCTCGCGAGACTTACGGGCCCTATGTTGGCTTTTCGTAGGCCTTCTCGGCCATCGTCTCTTTGGCCTGTACCGGCTCGTATATTCCGATATGCGAGACGGGGCCCAGCTTACTAAGCAGATAAGCAGGGCCCCGTCTCGCATATCGCAATATACTAGCTTTGTCGAACGTTAGCGCGCGCAAAAAGAGCCGGGAACCAGCTTACTAAGCAGACTGCTTCAGGAGGTCAGATACGGTTGATCGTCCAATCTTCACATCAAACTTCTGCTCTGCAAAAGTGATGACTTCTTGTTGTGTTGTCTGGGGTTGTCTTTCTTCAAAAGGAAATTTCTTTCTTGATCAATGGGCGTAACTTCTACAAGGGGTCGCTTAGCAGGTGGTGTACTCGTGACAAACATCTTGTGATGAAAACTCGTGTCGGTTGTAAACATTTTATACAGCTCGCTCTACTGTTATTTCTTGATTAAATCGTCTCAAATAATTATCCTGTGTTCCTAATTGACAAGTGTGATGTTCACCGACGTCAGTGTCAAGTAGCCAGTAAGGCACACGCTAATTACCACTCACGTGTGATTGTTTGTACGGTCGGATCATCCGACCGGCTGTTTTGATTGTCGGATTAACGAATGTTTTTACAATGTATTTACAATAATCAGTTGCTAGATTGGTGTGTCGGAGTCGGAACGCGAGAATGTCGGATTAACGAGAGTAATTATCACTGTTTTAAATGGTTCCGTAATTTTTTGTCGGATTAACGTGATTGTCGGATTAATGAGTATCGGATAAACGAGAGCTGACTGTAGTATGATTGTAAATATCGTGACAACGTAAACAAGCAACACACTTTCGAAGAGCTTATATATTTACAAAATATCCAGTAAACAGTCATTTGTTTTAACAACAACTACCCATCCATCAAATATCATTGGATAAAATAGGTGCAGTCGACAGAGAAAATAATTCCAATGGCTTCGTAAAAGTAGACTAAATATAGAAGTGTGACGTCACTTCATTGTATATTTCCCACGTGATGGTAACGCACTCTTAAACCTCATGTATTGATTAATGACGAAAGTGGCATGTGCTGCTTCATTGTGGCATTGAACCGTTATCGCACGTGTTGTTCACGTGATCCTGAAGAAGATTCACAACTTTTGGATAACCCCAACCCCACCCATCACCACCACCACCCCACGCCCCATCCCCTACTGTATTAGCTTTTGCAAAATACAAACATCCTTGAAATAAAAGACAGAATAAAATATGACACAATTTTATTTAAGTATTTGCTTCATGTGAAGACATCCAAAACCGTGTACAGGAGAACATCCCTAAGCGCTGAAATAACAATAAAAACAGTTAGTGAGTATACCTTTCTGGTCCATGTGACGTACAGGGTATGACTTAATATAACGGTACGCGTGGAGGATATTGTGTATATACACTGTATATAGAGGTATTATGTAGATATAATAGTATATACACTTGATGTTAATGGAATATACATACAATATACCAGCACATTGGAACGTGGCATGTGATGTAGATACAAAAGTGCAGGACAGTGAGTGAGTGGGTTTGGTTTTACGCCGCTTTTAGCAATATTCCAACAATATCACGGTGGGGGACACCAGAAAAGTATTTGGATTCACGCATTGTACCCATGTGGGGACACGAAACCGGGTCTTTGGCGTGACGAGCGAACGCTTTAACCGCTAAGCTATCCCACCGCCCCTTACATGGTACGGGGATAGGAGAAAGCAAAGAAATGGGAAGACAGAGAGGGGGGAAATGGGTGGAAGAGCAAACAGAACATTGAGGGGGAATTGAGACAAGCGATTAGAGAGAGAGAGAGTGAATCCGGGAAAATGGTTTTACGCGTCTGTTGGCAATATCAGGACGGGGAACCAGACAAAGGCTTCACACATTGAGGCAACAGGGGAACAGAAAGCGTGGCCGAGAATTACTAGGTGACCAGTATGAAACTCACTTTGGGCAGGTACAGACGTCATTGTGATGGTCACAGTGGGCTCCATGTGCGCAGGAAGCACACTCAGCAACGCAGAAGTCGTGTCCACCATGTGCCTCGTTCTTACAGGAGCCCGCACACTGCTGGCCACTCACCTCGCCTGGTGAACATTCAGGGACGGCGTTAAAGTTGTCATTTAATAAGAATAGATTACAGATGAGCACTCTCAGAGACAGTTAACCCTTTAGCGAATACGGCCAGATATTTCTTTCTTATGAACATAAGCGAATGTCCAGTTGAGAAATGGTTTAAACATGATTTCATACCAAAACAATCATATTTTATTGTCTTTTTCGAATAAGCTTTTAAGTAATTTCCAATGTGAAAACCTTATGCTGATTACAGACTTCTTTCCAAACTAAAGCTAAGATGACTGAGATGAATGCAGTTTATATTGCAGCTGTTTATCCTAAGTATTCTTTTAACACACGACCGGTAACATTGACACCAATACAGAATAAATACAAACTTGTATTAGATATAAATAAATTGTAAAAAGGAATAAAGGAAACTTTGATATACATACAACCGGAGTGGTTATTCACTTAGGTCGCTCGGTCGCAGGGACGCACTCAAGCACACAGAGCACAGAGAGAGAGAGAGAGAGAGAGAGACATTAACATTCCAAGCTGCTTCAATCAGCGATACACCCAATTGACACCAATTTATCACTTTTCTCGGAGCTGCTTACCAGCGTTGAGGGTGAAGACTGCAATGACCAGGAGAAGAGCGAGATACTTCATGTTGTCTGTTAGTGGGTATAGCGTCTTGGACAGCAACCGGGGCTTATATAGTTGACGTGACGTGTGGGAATGCAGTCATAATGCAAGATAATCAGAAGTTGTGTTTTTTAACGGAGACGCCAGTTTGAACCCTGCTACTCTATATACAACAAGACATCTGTTGGAACAGTTCGCCACAACCAAGTTAGTGTTTTTTGTCAACCACACAATCTCTCTACGACGCTAGATTACAGGATATTTGCATTCGTCTCACATACTGTGTACAACTTTCACAAACTCCCATTCTGCTGTCATGAAGCTGAATTACGTGAACAATATTTAAAACGTTTTAACCTAACATAACAAGCTATCACTGAACACTACAAACATGCTATATTCCACGAAACTATTTCGCACATTGCATTCACACTATGCTGGCCACTTTGCCTGGTTTACTTTGACACAGTTCGTGACGTCAACATTTTGCCGTTCCCTGACCACTGCTCACAAACAGACAGCTGTTCCCACAGATCACAAGACCTTATCTCTTCACACACAATTACACAATTACAGTTCTTCGCTATCTCCTCGCGTGCTTGTGTTTTACTATATATATAAATATTGCTTCATGTCGAAATCAGCACTGTTCCAACTGTCTCACAGTGATGACGGACTCAGCCAAACATGGATAACAGCAGGACCATCGATTCACAATCTGACACAGATGATGCGGATAATCTGCCAGGTCACACACTGCAACTGTCCCATCATAGACTACTTGCAGCTTGTTCTGCGCGTCCCCTTATATTGCGCTGGGCTGTCAAGAATCTCCACCGAATTCTGAACCGCGAAGAATTGATCTTCAGTAACCCATGTTTGTCGTAAGAGGCGACTAACGGGACCGGCTGGTTGCATTGGTTGACACATGTCATCGTATCACAGGTGCGTAGATCGATGCTCATTGTGTTCAACACAGGATTGTCTGGTCCAGACTCGATTATTTACGGACCGCCGCCATATAGATAAAATATTGCTGAGTGCGGCGTAAACTAAACTCACTCACTCCATGGAATGCTATGATAGTGACTAAGGAAGCGTTACTGAACTGAACCCCCATGCTGTACAAGATCCCGCCATATAGCTGGAATATTGCTGAGTGCGGCGTAAACCAAACTCACTCACTCCACGGAATTCTACGATAGTGACTAAGGAAGCGTTACTGAACTGAACCCCCATGCTGTACAAGATCCCGCCATATAGCTGGAATATTGCTGAGTGCGGCGTAAACCAAACTCACTCACTCCACGGAATTCTACGATAGTGACTAAGGAAGCGTTACTGAACTGAACCCCCATGCTGTACAAGATCCCGCCATATAGCTGGAATATTGCTGAGTGCGGCGTAAACCAAACTCACTCACTCCACGGAATTCTACGATAGTGACTAAGGAAGCGTTACTGAACTGAACCCCCATGCTGTACAAGATCCCGCCATATAGCTGGAATATTGCTGAGTGCGGCGTAAACCAAACTCACTCACTCCACGGAATTCTATGATAGTGACTAAGGAAGCCTTACTGAACTGAACCCCCATGCTGTACAAGATCCCGCCATATAGATGAAATATTGCTGAGTGCGGCGTAAACTAAACTCACTCACTCCACGGAATTCTATGATAGTGACTAAAGAAGCGTTACTGAACTGAACCCCCATGCTGCACAAGATCGTCATAGGATCGGTATTAACACCATTCGTTTACAGGGAGCAGAATGTCCGCAATTCTGAAGTTCGAGTGCGTATGTAATTGAAATTAAACGGAAAATGAATGGATAACATGAAATATCATCCCTACCAAAACATTTCACTGAAAGCATCCGAATGTTCACATGGCATATGAAACTATAGTCAAAAGTCTCATACCGCTGGAGTCCGTATATTATCAAAGTTAGCGTTATCGTTTATTATGATAAATAGTACTCTGAATGTAATCTGTCTGCGACGTTATCAATTAAATTGATAACGTCATATAATTTTTTTTCTCAACAAGAGAGTGAGTGAATGAATGAGTGGATTCCAAACTGATTTGCCCGATTTCTAGCTAAATCAAAGCTGTCAGTTCGAAGTATTGTATGTATGATATCCAACATTTGCCTCTTAAGGGATCAATCAGCATGGAAATGTGTAAATATTACAATCAATATATCCAGTCAGTAATACTGCACCAACGCTACCCGAGTTGATACTACTGTGAGCATATATTCCCCTGCAGTCAGAATGCTGGAGTAAGTGAATGAGAGAACAGCCTTCAAACTTCCCACTTGTCCGCTAAGACAAAATTGTGCTGAGAACACATAAAACTAAAGTGAATAGTAGTCCTGTTTGAGGTGTTTGACAGGTATATATCTGCTTCAGTTCTCAATGCTTCAGTTTGGCTTCAAAAAGGAACTGAATAAGACTGACAGACAATAGAAACAGTAAAATGATTGTCTTGATGAAGCAGGGCCAGTTAAAGTTGAAGACAAGTGAAAGGCGGTTTACACTACTCTTTGCTCCAGAGGTAGAAATCCCAACACATTAGTTAACATGTGACACATTTATTTGAAGTTGTACAGTACATTATCCAAACTATCTTTTCAATTACTTTATATCAGTAATACGTACAGTACAATATACAAATGAAACATACTTTGTATATTTTGCCAGTTACTATGTACAACGGTGTTATATATAAACAATGACAAGAGGTTCCCCAACATGACCGATGACAAGCTATGACATACAGCTGTACCATGCTATGTTGCCGTACTGAGGTCAATTTTACGATTTCAAAATTATCATGATCATTGCCTCTCATTTGTAGTCAAGGACACAACAGGCATGGAAACTCCCTCCCCCATTTCATCAATCAATGTAAAACATTCATCATGATGAATGATGTAATTTCTGTGTAGCTTTTTGGTTAAATAATACTAATAATTATAAAAATTGCCCTATACTTCTGTCCCACTCTTAAACCTCATGTATTGATTAATGACGAAAGTGGCATGTGCTGCTTCATTGTGGCATTGAACCGTTATCGCACATGTTGTTCACGTGATCCTGAAGAAGATTCACAACTTTTGGATAACCCCAACCCCCACCCATCCCCACCGCCACCCCACGCCCCATCCCCTACTGTATTAGCTTTGCAAAATACAAACATCCTTGAAATAAAAAGACAGAATAAAATATGACACAATTTTATTTAAGTATTTGCTTCATGTGAAGACATCCAAAACCGTGTACAGGAGAACATCCCTAAGCGCTGAAATAACAATAAAAACAGTTAGTGAGTATACCTTTCTGGTCCATGTGACGTACAGGGTATGACTTAATATAACGGTACGCGTGGAGGATATTGTGTATATACAGTATATAGAGGTATTATGTAGATATAATAGTATATACACTTGATGTTAATGGAATATACATACAATATACCAGCACATTGGAACGTGGCATGTGATGTAGATACAAAAGTGCAGGATAGTGAGTGAGTGGGTTTGGTTTTACGCCGCTTTTAGCAATATTCCAACAATATCACGGTGGGGGACACCAGAAAAGTATTTGGATTCACGCATTGTACCCATGTGGGGACACGAAACCGGGTCTTTGGCGTGACGAGCGAACGCTTTAACCACTAAGCTATCCCACCGCCCCCTTACATGGTAGGGGAGGGACATAGGAGAAAGCAAAAGAAATGGGAAGACAGAGAGGGGGAAATGGGGAAGAGCAAACAGAACATTGAGGGGAATTGAGACAAGCGATTAGAGAGAGAGAGAGAGAGTCCGGGAAAATGGTTTTACGCGTCTGTTGGCAATATCAGGACGGGGAACCAGACAAAGGCTTCACACAATAGAGGCAACAGGGGAACAGAAGCGTGGCCGAGAGGGTACTAGGTGACCAGTATGAAACCTCACTTTGGGCAGATACAGACGTCATTGTGATGGTCACAGTGGGCTCCATGTGCGCAGGAAGCACACTCAGCAACGCAGAAGTCGTGTCCACCATGTGCCTCGTTCTTACAGGAGCCCGCACACTGCTGGCCACTCACCTCGCCTGGTGAACATTCAGGGACGGCGTTAAAGTTGTCATTTTAATAAGAATAGATTACAGGATCAGATCTCAGAGCACTCCAGGCAGACAGTTAACCCTTTAGCGAATACGGCCAGATATTTCTTTCTTATGAACATAAGCGAATGTCTGATTACAGACTTCTTTCTTTTTTTCTGAAAACTTAAAGCTAAGATGACTGAGATGAATGCAGTTTATATTGCAGCTGTTTATCCTAAGAATATTCTTTAACACACGACCGGTAACATTGACACTAATACAGAATAAATACAAACTTGTATTAGATATAAATAAATTGTAAAAGGAATAAAGGAAACTTTGATATACATACAACCGGAGTGGTTATTCACTTAGGTCGCTCGGTCGCAGGGGACGCACTCAACACCACAGAGAGAGAGAGAGAGCGCGCATTAACATTCCAAGCTGCTTCAATCAAGCGATACACCCAATTGACACCAATTTATCACTTTTCTCGGAGCTGCTTACCAGCGTTGAGGGTGAAGACTGCAATGACCAGGAGAAGAGCGAGATACTTCATGTTGTCTGTTTAGTGGGTATAGCGTCTTGGACAGCAACCGGGGCTTATATAGTTGACGTGACGTGTGGGAATGCAGTGATAATGCAAGATAATCAGAAGTTGTGTTTTTAACGGAGACGCCAGTTTGAACCCTGCTACTCTATATAAAACAAGACATCTGTTGGAACAGTTCGCCACAACCAAGTTAGTGTTTTTTGTCAACCACACAATCTCTCTACGACGCAAGATTACAGGATATTTGCATTCGTCCTCACATACATGTACAACTTTCACAAACTCCCATTCTGCTGTCATGAAGCTGAATTACGTGAACAATATTTAAAACGTTTTAACCTAACATAACAAGCTATCACTGAACACTACAAACATGCTATATTCCACGAAACTATTTCGCACATTGCATTCACACTATGCTGGCCACTTTGCCTGGTTTACTTTGACACAGTTCGTGACGTCAACATTTTGCCGTTCCCTGACCACTGCTCACAAACAGACAGCTGTTCCCACAGATCACAAGACCTTATCTCTTCACACACAATTACACAAATTACAGTTCTTCACTATCTCCTCGCGTGCTTGTGTTTTACTATATATATAAATATGGGCTTCATGTCGAAATCAGCACTGTTCCAACTGTCTCACTGAAAGTGATGACGGACTCAGAAACATGGATAACAGCAGGACCATCGATTCACAATCTGACACAGATGATGCGGATAATCTGCCAGGTCACACACTGCAACTGTCCCATCATAGACTACTTGCAGCTTGTTCTGCGCGTCCCCTTATATTGCGCTGGGCTGTCAAAGATCTCCACCGAATTCTGAACCGCGAAGAATTGATCTTCAGTAACCCATGTTTGTCGTAAGAGGCGACTAACAGGACCGGCTGGTTGCATTGGTTGACACATGTCATCGTATCACAGGTGCGTACGTAGATCGATGCTCATGCTGTTCAACACAGGATTGTCAGGTCCAGACTCGATTATTTACGGACCGCCGCCATATAGATGAAATATTGCTGAGTGCGGCGTAAACTAAACTCACTCACTCCACGGAATTCTATGATAGTGACTAAGGAAGCGTTACTGAACTGAACCCCCATGCTGTACAAGATCGTCATAGGATCGGTATTAACACCATTCGTTTACAAGGAGCAGAATGTCCGCAATTCTGAAGTTCGAGTGCGTATGTAATTGAAATTAAAGGGAAAATGAATAGATAACATGAAATATCATCCCTACCAAAACATTTCACTGAAAGCATTCGAATGTTCACATGGCATATGAAACTAGTCAAAAGTCTTATACCGCTGGAGTCCTATATTATCAAAGTTAGTTAGTACTATCTCTAGTACTCTGAATGTAACCTGTCTGTGACCTTATCAATTGAAACGTCATATAATTTTTTTCTCAACAAGAGAGTGAATGAAAGAGTGGATTCCAAACTGATTTGCCCGATTTCTAGCTAAATCAAAGCTGTCAGTTCGAAGTATTGTATGTATGATATCCAACATTTGCCTCTTAAGGGATCAATCAGCATGGAAATGTGTAAATATTACAATCAATATATCCAGTCGGTAATACTGCACCAACGCTACCCAGAGTTGATACTACTGTGAGCATATATTCCCCTGCAGTCAGAATGCTGGAGTAAGTGAATAATAGTCCTGTTTGAGGTGTTTGACAGCTATATTTCTGAATCAGTTCTCAATGCTTCAGTTTGGCTTCAAAGAGGAACTAAATAAATATGACAGACAATAGAAACAGTAAAATGATTGTTTTGATGAATCAGGGCCAGTTAAAGTTGAAGACAAGTGAAAGGCGGTTTACACTACTCCTTGCTCCAGAGGTAGAAATCCCAACACATTCGTTAACATGTGACACATTTATTTGAAGTTGTACAGTACATTATCCAAACTATCTTTTCAATTACTTTATATCAGTAATACGGACAGTACAATATACAAATGAAACATACTTTGTATATTTTGCCAGTTACTATGTACAACGGTGTTATATATAAACAATGACAAGCGGTTTCCCCAACATGACCGATGACAAGCTATGACATACAGCTGTACCATGCTATGTTGCCGTACTGAGGTCAATTTTACGATTTCAAAATTAACATGATCATACCTCTCACTTGTAGTCAAGGATACAACAGGCATGGAAAATCCCTCCCCCATTTCATCAATCATTGTAAAACATTCATCATGATGAATGATGTAATTTTTGTGTAGCTTAAACAATACTAATAATTATAAAAATTGCCCTATACTTCTGTCCAACTTACTGCAGAACAAATATTACAATAACTATGGCATGAAAAGTATATTGCACTATAACCATGCAGTCATACTGTTTCTACAAAGATATACAAATATCTCACAGAGAAAAAATTCTAAATATAAACTTATTTTATTAAACAGAACTCATAAAATATTCGAAAGCCTCAAAACGGCATACAATAAGTGAAAAGTGACATATTCATGATATTAAAAGTATATGTATATATATATATGAATTCATATTAAAATCACCAAAATTCCCTCGTTTCCAACATTTTCAGTTTCTTCTAAATAAAATTTGACAGTGAAAACAACTGATGAACACACAGCCATACAGTGATGAAGTAATGACAGCAATCTGTGACAGGTAACCACCATGAGATCAACGTGCATCTTCCCACCAGCAAGTCCCTCCTGCTGCTGATGTAAGACAGAGGATCAGTGGATCCTGTTGGTCTGGAGACCCTCTGCATCCTCCAGCAACTGCTCGACCCGCTCTCTCTGACAAAACAAAGTCAGCAAACTGTCTCATCTCTGCACCTCATTTCACTATTTTTTATTTTACTGTAGTCAGCCACGGATATTGGAAATGATGTGTCTCACTACCCTGCTTGTCTTCTATATCGATCATGATGAAATGATTTTCTTGTTTTAATGATATTTCTCTGTACATACATATTGCCCAATTATAAAAGTTGTCCTTTGTAACACATGTAAAATGCATGATAGTACTTAAATAAACATACAGTTTAAGATATGCTTCACAATCAGATCATTATTCTGCTATATATTTATGTGCAGAGATTGCTGTTGAGCTTTTAAGACAGGAAAAACATAAAAGATGGGGACAACAAAGCACCAGACTCTCATGTTATTCTAATATCCTTATGTTGAACGCAATGCAGAAAATGTATAAGTAGAATTTGTTCATTTCTCTCCAAGGTGGGATGCAATGTATTCAAAATGGTGAATGGATTTCAATCAAACTTTTTGATCTGAAGTGAGACTATTAATCTAGGACTGATGGGAGAGGAAAAACAACATGGATATCATTACGAAACACATGAGGTGCAAGGAATATATTCTGACCGGAGACGCTGCAACTGAAGGACTGTACAATCAACAATGCAGACATTGTTCCAAGGACTAGGAAACACAGTTGTGTGCTACTCACATCTAGTTTGTCCAGACGATCTCCTCGGTCCTTGGTGTCTGGGTAAGGTGGGAGCAATGCCTGGAGTCGGACAGCCTTCAAGGCCACCGGCTGACATGCAATCAAGTGGCTGATTTCCTGGGCCTGTAACATTCAGTAGGACCATATAATCCCCTCCCCGTGTCAATACATACAACTATACACATCCATCATACCATTTCCAGTGCCTAAATATTTCCATGGTGAAATGCCTTACACAGAGCTACAGATAACGTTTTGAGTCATTGAGTTATGTACTCGCTTGTGTTCATCTCGATTGGGTATCCTAAGTTTCCTTTGAGTAACCAAATAAATTGTACTCACCTCACTCAAACTCAATTGGGTATTTTGAAATTTTCCATTAATTTTAAAAATATAATAAAGTTTAAATTATAGTGTTTGTTATTTATATTTAATATGTAATATGAGAAACGATAAGAAAGACTGCAAGTTGTCAAGTTCATGTCCTGATATAGAACCTCTCAATATACCTCGGTTATTTTATCTATCCACTGGTATGCAAGCTAAGATTTGACATTTTTTGTGTGTACGCATGCTAGATCACATTTATTGATTATTTACAAAAATTCAAACGTACTTGTACGCAATAGACTTAATAGGAATTGAGTTTTCACATAAATATTTGCGTAATTTACGCAGATACGCAGGTTATCTGTACCTCTGCTTACACATATCACATCACTTCCAATAGTTAATATACCAAAGATAAAACACTGTGCATGTCTGTCTGTCATATTGCTTCCACTACTTAAATATTCCATCAACTTATATGCAACATAGATTTCTGAGTCACAAGTCAAATAATCCCCATCATCTGAATAGGCCAAATAAAAAAAATGTTGTGGTTCCCCTTTACACCTCTTAAAAATTTAGGGTAGGTAGGTTGGAATTTTTTTTTTACATATTTTTTTTTTAGAAGGAAAGTACAAACTAATAACACATTTATCAATGTGTAATTGTTTATTCAATCAAGCTTATGGCCATCATGTCAACTTTCTCTATCAGAATGACAGATATCTGTTGGTGCCGGGGAAACACAATGGTATCTGAAAGCTTATTTTATTCATTCCGCTTAAAAAAATAGGGGCGGCACCAGAATTCAAGGGTCGGAAAGAGATCCTTCCGTTCCCCCCATATTATATTTGTAACATTACCGTGCCTGGGGCCCTTATCATCGACGTGGTTCGACCCTATATATTGTAATTAATTTTTGGGATTTTAGTTATTTTTGTTTGTTCTCTAGTAATTGTTGTGTTAGGTTTTGTTAATAATTTTAGTACATATTAATTTATACATATTATTTGGGATGGGGGAACGGGAGGAACTCTTACCCAAGGGTCGGTCGGGTGATCGGAACCACAACATATTTTTTTTCAGGCCTTATAACATGTCCATATGATTTACTATCCACAAACATCACCAGCAGCAAGACACGTGGACAATAGTAGAAATCCATTGCATACTTGAGAAAGTAGACCAATATGAATGGAATATAGTCAGAGATTTCCAGGAATGATGACAAACCCTATTTGCTTGATAACGCAGCCTCATGATCCTTAACCGGTTCCGGGATTCTGCTGCCCTGGAACATGAAGTGTATCTTGTTGTGAGAGGTGAGTTGAACCAAGGGTATCATTCACAAGGGCATTACCACTTGTCCAGCAAGTATTGTCAAAGATACAAATTCCACTGAGCATGGTGACTGGTAAAACTATGTGGGACATGTCACATATGACACAACTAATTCATTTCAGAGCAATATCATGGAATAATAATTCATTATTAATTATAACCACTACAAGCGATATATTAGGATTCAGATATTAGGAAAATATAAATATAGAATATTAGTTCCATCATGCATCAGTAATAGCTTAGAGAAAGACTCCAGTCAAAAGTAGTAAAACTCATCTCACAGACATACTATTGAAAAAGGTATAAATTACGGCTGCACAATTTCACAGATGTTCAAGATAAAATCCTAGCATAAGGTATCAAGGACTTAGCAGTGTCTTATTGATACCTTAGGCGAACACAGTATCTGATTTCCAAAATTCTTTTGAAGCGCCATGGTGCAAGCGAGAGCCCGAGTCTCATGACTCTTCGCCGTCGACGGTGGAGGAAGGTCAGCAAAGGCATATGCATGCAGATCGTACTTCTCATCCAAAACGCCAAGGTAGTGCATGAGACTTCCGAGGCGGAGGCAGTGGATATCGGAATGAACAGTCTCTTACGCAGTCTGCGGCGATCCTGCGAGGCAGCTTAGTAAGGTAAATCCGTAATGCTCGAAACAGGCACAAGGAAAGATATTCTTTGTCATCTGGGCCCAAGATAGTGGACAGCGGCGGGATCGTAAACGTGCAGTCCAGCTGTACTGGCGCTTCTTAGAACCATTACGATTCGATTTACCCATGTTGAAACACAATCAAACTTTCTTAGAGACAAGCACACGTCCACAGGACATAGCAACAAGAAAGAGAATGACAGGCACAGGTAGTCACGTGATCATCTGAGCGATATGCACGCTTATTGAGATGATTGACAGGTGCTGCTATCGGAGTGGGGGCAGAGATCAGGTGGTCAGAGGCCAGTAAGATTTGATTCAACTTAGCCTACAGCATGTTTCCACACATGGTCGTAGAAGAAGAGGAGAGGTGCATACCGTCACTTGTAGTGGTTGTAATTAATAATAATTTTTGGTTTGAATTATTATTCCATGATAGCAATAAGGGTGTACAGTGCATGGATGACACTGGGTTTTTTTTTCTTGTATCAAAGCTTGAAAGCATATTGTGATAGAGTTGCCAGCTGAGTGTGACACATGTCGTAGGCAAATACAACTTTTGTGAAGCAAGATAGGTACCCGGGTATTGCATTGACAGATTTAAAGATTACTTACCTAACAAATATATGGTTTGAAACTATGATCACAGCTGAGGTGAGGTGAAATTGGGTTTAATGTCATGTTGAGGATTATTGAACTGCTATAGCAACACACATGTATAAGTCAATGGCTGTTGGTGCTTCACTGGTTCCATAATTCTAGCTCACAGAGATACCATGTTGAAGTTAAAATAATATAATAAGTCATCTTCTATAGCACACAGTGATTGCTCATGGTGCTTAATCAGAATCTGATTATTATTACCCTGGACTTATTAGCCCAAGCTGCCTGTTAGGCGCTAGAAGGTTATAGTCACTGTACCCATTTTCCTGCTGGGTGAACAGAGGCAATTTTGAACAAACTGATTTGCCTAAGGTGAGACCACATGTATCACATGTGCTTCGTTGTGGGGCAGGACTGAAGTCCTAGAAACTCTCAGGAGTCAAGCTGCCAACACAGTCACCCATCCAAGGACAGTGACCGAGCTCGATGTTGCTTAACTTCAACTGATTCGTGACCTGAGCTCTGTGCACAGGACCACACACCACCACGTTTAATGTGACTATCCCACTCATACGGATTATATATTTGTTATTTCACCTGTATAGTGAAAGACATCTTAAAAAACATCGTTTGGTATGATGCATCCAGGGAATTGAGCTGCCCACTGTCTCTACACCAAGCAGACATTCTATCCACTAGACCAAGGAGGAATGTGAGGAAATGAGACTTTACACAGTGAGTTGGGGAACATGGACCTCTTGGTCACCCATGTCGCCTGGTTTTAACATTCATTGCTTAAACAAGTAACAAACTTGCAGCTGTAGAAGTGACAAACTCACTTTAGTTGTCCTATTAAGTTGTCATATTTGTCTTTCTCCTCCACTTCCTTTTCTGAAGGTGGAGCACACTCTCTGAAAAGGTGACAAAAAATGAATTAAGTTACAGGAAGATTCTGAAAATATCTATATATATGGTTCATCTGATTGATGTTATTACTTTTAGGATTAAACTTAAACAGAAAATTAAACTGAAACATCAACAAAGTATAGACCTGATTTTGTCTCTGTGACAGCATAAGTGGAAATATAATACAATGATACGGCAATATGCAGTGGACAGTGATAGAACATGGTCGAGTGGAATGTCCCATGAATGATGCATGGTCAACGTCTTGGTGGAATGTCTATCACTGACATGTGACAGAAGTGGGCATAAAACAATCAGTGATATATGACAGAAGTGAGATTCTGATCAATGATATATGACAGAAGTTGGATTCTGATAATGATATATGACGGAAATGGGATTCTGATCAATGATGTGTGATGGAAGTGGGATTCTGATCAATGATGTATGATGGAAGTGGGATTCTGATCAATGATGTATGATGGAAGTGGGCATCTGATCAGTGATTTATGACAGAAGTTTGATTCTGATAATGATGTATGACAGAAGTTGGATGCTGATCAATGATGTATGACGGAAGTGGGATTCTGATCAATGATGTATGATGGAAGTGGGCATCTGATCAGTGATTTATGACAGAAGTTTGATTCTGATAATGATGTATGACAGAAGTTGGATGCTGATCAATGATGTATGATGGAAGTGGGATTCTGACAATGATGTATCATCGTGGGATTCTGATCAATGATGTATGACAGAAGTTGGATTCTGATAATGATGTATGACGGAAATGGGATTCTGATCAATGTGGGATGCTGATCAATGATGTATGATGGAAATGGGATTCTGGTCAATGATGTATGATGGAAGTGGGATTCTGATCAATGATGTATGATGGAAATGGCATTCTGATCAAGCATGGATGATGGAAGTTGGATGCTGATCAATGATGTATGATAGAAGTGGGATTCTGATCAGTGATGGATGATGGAAGTGGGATTCTGATCAATGATGTATGATGGAAATGGGATTCTGATGACTGATGTATGACTGAATGAGATGCCAATCAGTAATGTATGATTGAAGTGGAATGCCAGTTCAGTACTGACCTGGTCCTTGTTTTCTTCAGCTCTACAAGCCTCTTATTAGTGGCACTCACAGCTTCACTCACATGCTTAGGGGGTTCCTCATACTAAAACAAGTGGCAGGTTGAGAATTCAATGATGAGACATTACCCCTTGGTGGAGTGAGAAATAATGTTTAATCTAAAACATTTTTAGATGTTATCCAAAAATCGTATGTTTGGAAAAAACATAAGTCCAATATTTTTGCTATCATGAATAAGAATGTGGTTTCAATTCAACTTATATAAAAAATATCAGAATGATCAGAAGGTTTGTACAGTTTTCAGTGGCAAGTGGGTTGACAAATGGAAAACAGAATCGGTTATTTGCAGAAAACAAGTTCAATGTGTTCATTTGTCTGTTATATGCCAAAAGATGAATATTCTCAAAACAAAAGAGGAGAGAAAACTCACGGCAAGATATCTGCTTCTTTCTTGAGGGGATAGTTTCTTCAGTTCAAAAGGAGACAGCTTTTTCCTACTCCTTTCAGACTTCTCAGGTGGTAGAGAGCTCTGGAGGCAGAATACAGGACTGACATTAAATGTATGTAAGTTTTCCTTCAATAGATAACTGTGAATATATCACTCTCTCTGACTTATAGTTATAAAACACTTGATTATGATGCAAGATTACGGCCTGATAAAAAATGTTCATCACATTAGCAGCTTAACGATGAAACCATGTCATGCCGACAATATCTTAATCTCATCTATTTCTGTGATCTTTTGCTTAGTTTCTACTTTCAAATTTCGGGCTAGTGAATTATTTTGTGGGCTAGTAACTTTCAGGCATAGCTAGCCCGACTGGTTTGCACAATTTGGAAACTATTTCGCACACTGACCTCAGGTGATTCTGTTGCGGCCAATTCAAGGCTCAGTTGGTAACAATGGGAGACCTGCCTGTTTGTGCGTGATCATACAAAAGTGAAGCATATTGTCATTCATCCTATCAACCACTGGTCTGCCTGGCCCCTGAATTTATTTTTAACCTCATGACATACCGGTATACAGAATACAACTACTGCTGACCATTGTCCAAAACAAAATTAATTCGCTTACTCTGTGACTTTAAGAACACGTTCAACCCAATCAGACCTTAGTCAAATGTATTTAGGTTTACTACATCCATATGTAAAGTAACAAATAAAGAATACCAGAAGATAAGGAAGTTAATGATAACTGAGATACCACTTCTCTTAATCACTTTACTAAGCTTCACAGAAGTTCAAGATCCAGGTCAAAGTTGCCTACAAAGATACATGTTTGAAAAGCTATTACAGGATTCCTGATATTATGCAGAAGAGCCTACAGCTATTTTTCACCCTTTGAACAAGCAGTATTACTCTCATAACTGACTTGTGTGGTGATGAAGTGAATGAAAACACTGACTGAGACTATCATCCAGATTAAGGGCTAACATTGTAACATGGTTATGGTTTGTTCGCTGTTTAATGCAATAAGCAATAAGGTTAATCTCTTCCTAATTATATCATCCAGAAGACTGGAAACTAAAATGAGTGAGTTTATAATCTTCGTAGAAAGAGCATGCTGAGTTGTATCACTAATGCTGTGATATGTTAGCACCAAAATACTGAGTCCTTGAATATGGCTCGATATAAAGTGAGTGAGTGAGTTTAGTTTTATATCGCTTTTAGCAATATTCCAGCAATATTACTGTGGGGGACATCAGAAATGGGCTTCACACAAGAAACTAAAATGACTGCACATTTGATTGTCTACACACATCAGTTGGACGTACTAAAATAAAAATGACAAAAGTAATAATGACTAGGGGATTACAACAAATCCACTATGAGGTGAATATGATATATATTACGAAACTTGGATAATGAATGCAAATATCTTTTTACAACTGGAAGCAGTTGATATATTATTCATTATATTCAGTTAAACAATAACAAAATAAGTTACTTATATGCATGTTAACAGTGTTAATTTACCTTGTATACAAATATTCCACAAATGACAGCTATTGAGTGTTTCGGAATTTAAAATCAGTATAAATTTTAGAGATGAATCCACACAAAAGGACTTTATAATCTAAATAGTACACTGATTGATTTTACAGTGACCATAAACATAAAACAATCCCAAGACCCTTTTAGTGAATCAGGTAATAAGCGTTGTTGTGACAATAACTTAGATCAGTCAGTGAGTTATCCTTGGGTCTGGTGGAACCATTTGTGAGGTCTGTATCTCATCAGTGCTTGAAACTGCTGAATGCTCAGACGGGTTAACTTTGAGCTGTGCATGAAAAATAAAGTTACCTGACATATGGTCAAGTTAATATTTGAACAATATTAATTTATACTGGCTCTATTACCATTTAAAACAATTTTTCCATAACATAGTATTAAAGATGATCATTAGTTTTTGTCTCAACAATGCCTCTCTGTAGTAACTTACAGCAAATTATAATGATCGAGTTTACTGAAGCTCATCAAAGATATCTTCTGTTTTATTTAATGAAAGAATACTTTTGTAGACAGTGCTGATAGGACTGGTTGGTTTTCAGTGGGCTGAATGTGATCAACCATGTGGTCTGGTACAAATTTTTGGGGGGGGGTTCTTACACTGATCGTATTTATGAGCCTGCTGACGCGAGTAGCAATACATTTCTACTGACCATACTGACAACGAGAACATTGTTTCTCCTACAAAAGCAATAATGTTACTATAGATAACAAATATCCGGGTATAAGGCATCATGTGTACAAAACATGTCTCAGGAAAAGTAAATAAATAATCACCGGCATCTTGTAATCTGTGATGCTGCAGAATATAATTTTCTGTCAAACGCGGGATTTCCTATACTGCCACCATCTTGTTTACTGTTGTTTAGCAACAATACGCGGAATTCACGCGATAGTTTTCGAGGGTACTCGAGACCAGGGGAAGTAACTCTCATTTGTGAACGTTTTCATTTCATGTTTCGCACGCAAACATATTTCAACATGACTTTATGATTTGTCTCTCGATGTTTTCACATAGACCCTGGACACGTTTGTGATATACTGTAAGTTACTGCTTGATCAATCAGGTTGATCAATGGCGATACTGAAAGAATGAAAACATTCAGCATGGCAACTCCGACACTGTCGCTTTCATTTCATGATCAAACCTGTGCCCGTATTTCTGTCGCGATCAAACTAAGATCACTAGTTGATGGAAAGAGAGGGGGCATTTAAGTTCATCAGTCATAACTGTAGATTGTATATACTGTTGTGTACTATTTTATTCTCCTGCAGATAGGAAGTGATTCCAAAGGCACAAATAAGCAATACAAATAAATCATGTTTTGTTTTTTACTGTTGTCGCACACATACAATGAATAAGGACATTTCGTTTGGCTAAACACTAACAATAAACTGCAATCATAAGACAGTTTCAGTAGTAGATAGTTTGCTCCTTTAGTGTATGCTGAATTGTGCAATTGTATGCATAAGTCCTAAGACAGGTAATTCTGTTCGGATGCGTACAGTGTTGGAATCAGTTACCCACAGGACTACCCAGACCATTCGGGAGTCGAGTGATATATTCTCTCATTACCAAACTTCACTGTAACTCCAGTTAGGCAATCCCTATTTAGGCTGTGTACCAAAGAATAAAATCTGTACTCGACCAAGCACTATATGCATGCATTCATTTATTTGAAAAATCCTATGGACTCTGAAAGTCATACTGTGTTTGTGTCTGCTGCATAAACAGAACAAGTTTTCATCGGATCGAAAACAATTAATCAGAAGACCCATGGTTTTCCTGTTTCATTACCATGAATAAAGGATGTATTTAAGGACAGCTTCATGTCATGAAATGTTGGTTCATCAACAAGAGAGGGGCAGTGGGGTAGACCCTGGCTTGATTTCCCTGATGGGTACAAAGGGATATTGCAAACGCGGCATGAACTTAAACTCACTCACTCATGCACAAAACTTTTAAGTGAAAATCATCATCCAAACCAAGGACAATGAATATGCTTGAATTTTGCCCCAAACATTCTGTATTTCATGCATCTGATCCATTTCACTTCAGAAATTGTATTCATGGTAATGGATTTATGACTTGATTTATTTGATCTATGCTCTTATGATGTCATGATTCCAGATGGAGGGATATTTATGAAGAATGTATTCTCAGTTACATTTGTCTTGAATCTTCTCTTTGCTTATGCCCCAAAATAACAGTGTATGTCTAAGCATGCAGTGCCAAGGGGCAACATGATAAAATAATACTGTTGATAAAGGCAGAGTTAAACCTAACTCAGTGACTCATGAAGTGTTTCAAGGCCATTGTTTTGTATGTTTCAGGACTTGATGCACAATGCTTCGTGTAGTATGGAACATCATCAAGACATTAATCAGCCTCGTCTTTAAAATATTTTCACCTTTTAAGCGTTTGGTATGTCGCCGACGAAGAAACTCAGACGCAGATATTATTCCTGTTGGCAATCACATGTCGACATACGATTCCACCACTATTGACATGATGCCAGTGCCAGACAGCAGCGAGGTAGGACACATCACAACCTGAGTGTCTGTCAACATGATGCTAGTTGCTTGCATACTAGTAAAATGAATTTTCTGTTTATTGTACTTCAGGGCTTCAGGCTTTTGTGTAAACAGTTATGAAACAGGCAGATTTACATATAAATATGTTAATAACACATATATTTTGCTAAGATAAGAATATTTGGTATTTGCATCAAAAAGTACCCCAAAAATGATGTTAGGATGAAGGTAAAACTTTTTGTATTAATGTATAGTTATCATGATTGTATATGTACTGGACATGCAAACACAGAAATGGAAATCCATTTCAATGATGTAAGTTACAAAGTTGACATCCTTCTTAAAGTACTTTATTCAGTTTACCTTCACATCCTCAAATAGATCTCCCCTAGATTGCAAAACATGCAGCACATGATATTGAGTAAGTTTAACAACGTACCTTGCTACCTTGCGTGGCACTTGGCATTATTTGGAGGAAACAAGATAATTATAACAATGGTTATTTATAAAGCACCTGTTTCCATGCTCTTGTGCATGCTCAACACATTATTACCCCGGATAACCCAAGCTGCATATGAGGTGCTACTGCTAGAAGGTTACCCGTCATATGACTTATCCCACCGGGGGACGGCCTCCGTTGTGTAGTGGTTAGAGTGTCCGCCCGGAGAGCGGAAGGTTGTGGGTTCAATCCCCGACCGCGTCATACCAAAAGACGATAAAATATAGTACTTGTTGGTCCCTGCCTGGCACTCGGCATTAATGGGTACAACAAGGACTGGTCAGCTCAGAGTCAGTATAATGTGTCTGAGTGGGGTATTCATGCTTCACTGTGGCATGGTATCTCAGTGGGCTAGCACTATAAAACCAGCTTCAGTCTGGGCTAGTACAAGCAGCCGCACATACACACGCATGCACGTTGTCATATGAGCGACATATTTTCAAGCACGACGTTAAACCCAATTTCACCTCACCTCACCTATCCCACTGGGTACCCGTTTACTGCTGGGTGAACAGACGCAATTTATGAACAAACTCATTTGCCTATGGTAAGACCACATGTGTTCGTGCTTGCTTCGTTGTGGGGCAGGACTGAAGTCCTAGAAACTCTCATGAGTCAATCTGTCAAACACGGACACCCATCCAAGGACTCTCCACGACCATGATTTGTGACCTGGGCTCTACGCACAGGTCCACACACCACCACCAAGATGTGGTCAGCTTTGAGTCAGTATAATGTGTGTGAGTGGGGTATCTCTGTGAAGGTGCAGCGTGGTATCTCTGTGTGCTAGTGACCTAAAACACCAATAGTCTGGAGGTACACATGGTACAAGCTGCCACATCTGCATGCACATCGCTATTGAACTGAAGTATTTTTTAACCTAATCCCCCTTATACCTTGCCTCCAGTTACCACTACTTGAACTGTAGACGACAACTCAGCGTTTAATGTTTTGTCCACAGACAGAGCTTCAGTCCTGGGACACATGGGGAGTAGAGGACATGGGTCGTAAGAGTCACAACTCACACATGACAGGTCATGTGACAGCCAGTAACTATCGGCAAAAGCGTGTGACAGAACCAGAACCGGAGCCTGAGATTGATTATTTCCAGGACCTCACACCAGACTTTAAAAAGGCACCAAAGGTGGGTTATCATGTGGACAGTATTGACAGTGTAGAAACTAACTTGACACTTCTCATATACCATGTGGTAATGAATAACAGTAGGGTGGATGAATGTGGATGGATTAAGACGCTACTGGTATTGAGAACATACCTGGTGATAGCCAGGCTAAACCAACTCATGTTAGTATACAGAAGTCAGTCATGTGTAGTTGCATTCATACTAGTGGTGGTCCGATTAATTGAAATAATCGAAGATTGGTCGCAGTGGCCAAACGACCAAGCAATCGATCACATTTTCTCATAATCGAACACAAACCATTTTGGAACCGCTGTAATAGAGTTTGAAATACTTGATGATGGAACATATCTAGGACGTTGTCAGGGCCTGAAAACGTGTTTATTTCTGAGAAAACTCACTTCACTTTCTGAAAAGTCATGACTGAATATTTCTTGAAGTATCTGGGAAGTTAATGTTACACTGGAACTGAATCATTTTACACTGGATGTGGAATCTGCAAATGTAATTTGTGCAGTTTCTAAAAAAAACACCACAGAACCAAATGTTTTTTTCTATATACTTATCTGCAACTACAACCTGAATAGGAAAATCTAAAAAATGACGCTAACCAATTTATTTTCGATGATTGTTCGTTGGTAATGAACCAATCATCAATTGTGAGATTTCAACCAATTCCCAACACTAATTCATACAGGAGTCATTTTGAAATTTTCAACAGAAGAGTCACAAAGGCAATTGTCGGTATAAATTGGATGTTTGTATTCATTCTTGCTTGTTTTAGATATTACTGAAGAAGAAAGATGAGCCGAGTATCAACAAGACAGCAATCTCCAACAGACTGGCAGTGACATCTGATATCCCCATACCTGTATGTATAACACCGTCCTATACCTGTATAACACCGTCCCACACCTGTATGTATAACACCGTCCCACACCTGTATGTATAACACAGTCCCACCTGTGTATGTATAACCACAGTCTCATACACTGTGTATAATAACACAGTCCCACACCTGTATGTATAACACCGTCCCACACCTGTATGTATAACACAGTCCCACACCTGTATGTATAACACAGTCCCACACCAGTATGTATAACACAGTCCCACACCTGTATAACACAGTCCCACACCTGTATGTATAACACAGTCCCACACCTGTATGTATAACACAGTCCCACACCTGTATGTATAACACAGTCCCACACCTGTATGTATAACACAGTCCCATACCTGTATGTATAACACAGTCCCACACCTGTATGCAACAAGACAGCAATGTATACTGGCACACATCTGATATCCCCACACCTGTATGTATAACACCGTCCCTATACCTGTATAACCAGTCCCACACCTGTATGTATAACACAGTCCCACACCTGTATGTATAACACCGGTCCCACCTGTATAACCTCCCACACCTGTATGTATAACACAGTCTCATACCTGTATGTATAACACAGTCCCACACCTGTATGTATAACACCGTCCCACACCTGTATGTATAACACAGTCCCACACCTGTATGTATAACACCGTCCCACACCTGTATGTATAACACAGTCCCACACCTGTATAACACAGTCCCACACCTGTATGTATAACACAGTCCCACACCTGTATGTATAACACCGTCCCACACCTGTATGTATAACACAGTCCCACACCTGTATGTATAACACAGTCCCACACCTGTATGTATAACACAGTCCCATACCTGTATAACACAGTCCCACACCTGTATGTATAACACAGTCTCATACCTGTATGTATAACACAGTCCCATACCTGTATGTATAACACAGTCCCACACCTGTATGTATAACACAGTCTCATACCTGTATGTATAACACAGTCCCACACCTGTATGTATAACACAGTCCCACACCTGTATGTATAACACAGTCCCACACCTGTATGTATAACACCGTCCCATACCTGTATGTATAACACAGTCCCACACCTGTATGTATAACACAGTTTCATACCTGTATAACACAGTCCCACACCTGTATGTATAACACAGTCCCACACCTGTATGTATAACACCGTCCCATACCTGTATAACACAGTCCCACACCTGTATGGATAACAGTCCCACACCTGTATGTATAACACAGTCCCACACCTGTATGTATAACACAGTCCCACACCAGTATGTATAACACAGTCCCACACCTGTATGTATAAAACAGTCCCACACCTGTATGTATAACACAGTCCCACACCTGTATGTATAACACAGCCCCACATCTGTATGTATAACACAGTCCCACACCTATATGTATAACACAGTCCCACACCTGTATGTATAACACAGTCCCACACCTGTATGTATAACACAGTCCCACACCAGTATGTATAACACAGTCCCACACCTGTATGTATAAAACAGTCCCACACCTGTATGTATAACACAGTCCCACACCTGTATGTATAACACAGCCCCACATCTGTATGTATAACACAGTCCCACACCTGTATGTATAACACAGTCCCACACCTGTATGTATAACACAGTCCCACACCTGTATGTATAACACAGTCCCACACCTGTATGTATAACACAGCCCCACATCTGTATGTATAACACAGTCCCAACCTGTATGTATAACTGTATGTATAACACAGCCCCACATCTGTATGTATAACACAGTCCCAATCTGTATGTAGTGGGACACAGTCCCACACCTGTATGTATAACACAGTCCCACACCTGTATGTATAACACAGCCCCACATCTGTATATATAACACAGTCCCACACCTGTATGTATAACTGTATATATAACACAGTCCCACACCTGTATGTAATATGATGACAGTCGGACACCTATATGTATAACATAGTCCCACACCTGTATGTATAACACAGTCCCACACCTGCATGTAATAAGATGACAGTCAGACACCTGTATGTAGTGACACCATCAGACAATCCCACACCTGTGTGTAGTAGCACAAACATACACTTCTAATCCTGTAGGTAGTAATGCTAACTTTCCCTGACCTCGGTCATAACTCCAGAAACTGAATACAACATCACTTGTACAAATGTTGTATCATTGTACCTGTCATTGTGACTGCATGTTTTGTCATTGTAATATTTGTAAGTCACAGAGACGGTGGGAGTTTAATCCGCTTTTAATCCATTCATGTGTATCACTAATCACATCTGTATGTATAACACAGTCCCACACCTGTATGTAGAACACAGTCCCAACCTGTATGTATAACTGTATGTATAACACAGCCCCACATCTGTATGTATAACACAGTCCCAACCTGTATGTATAACTGTATGTATAACACAGCCCCACATCTGTATGTATAACACAGTCCCAAACTGTATGTATAACTGTATGTATAACACAGTCCCACATCTATATGTATAACACAGTCCCAACCTGTATGTATAACTGTATGTATAACACAGTCCCACATCTGTATGTATAACACAGTCCCAACCTGTATGTATAACTGTATGTATAACACAGCCCCACATCTGTATGTATAACACAGTCCCAACCTGTATGTATAACTGTATGTATAACACAGCCCCACATCTGTATGTATAACACAGTCCCAAACTGTATGTATAACTGTATGTATAACACAGTCCCACATCTGTATGTATAACACAGTCCCAACCTGTATGTATAACTGTATGTATAACACAGTTCCACATCTGTATGTATAACACAGTCCCAACCTGTATGTATAACACAGTCCCACATCTGTATGTATAACAAAGTCCCACACCTGTATGTATAACTGTATGTATAACACAGCCCCACATCTGTATGTATAACACAGTCCCACACCTGTATGTATAACACAGTCCCACACCTGTATGTATAATAACACAGCCCCACATCTGTATGTATAACACAGTCCCACACCTGTATGTATAACTGTATATATAACACAGTCCCACACCTGTATGTAATATGATGACAGTCGGACACCTATATGTATAACATAGTCCCACACCTGTATGTATAACACAGTCCCACACCTGCATGTAATAAGATGACAGTCAGACACCTGTATGTAGTGACACCATCAGACAATCCCACACCTGTGTGTAGTAGCACAAACATACACTTCTAATCCTGTAGGTAGTAATGCTAACTTTCCCTGACCTCGGTCATAACTCCAGAAACTGAATACAACATCACTTGTACAAATGTTGTATCATTGTACCTGTCATTGTGACTGCATGTTTTGTCATTGTAATATTTGTAAGTCACAGAGACGGTGGGAGTTTAATCCGTTTTTAATCCATTCATGTGTATCACTAATCACAGGGACTTGTTAGACACAATTTAGCAGCAACATGTATCATCACCATCATTGTGATCGCTCTTTAATATTAACCATATATCTCACTGCTGACTTTACAGTTTCTGCCCCTGTGTCAGTCATTTCATTCCAAGATATTTGGCTTCCCTAAAAGTGGCATGGATAGGTTTTTATATCCGTCTGTGTGATAGCAGGGCTATGGTGGTGAACAACAAGGGCAGTGTGAAGTAGTCTAAATCGGCCCAGGGTTGGTGTCAAGGGGTCGTGGGGTAGCCTAGTGGTAAAAGTGTTAGCTTATCACACCAAAGATCTGAGTTTGATTCCCCACATGAGTACATTATGTGAAGCCCATTTCTGGTGTTCGTCTTCGTGATATTGGTAACAGCGACATACAACTTCACTCACTGGTGTCATGACTCTGTATGTCATGCATGTAGTTTATTTTGCAGGGTTCTGAGCTGGGTAGCTGGGAGGACCAGGAAAACGCTTGGGGGGACGAAGCTCAGGAGGACCTGTCCTGGCAGGCAGAGGCCGCCATGAAGGAGAAGAGGCGACTCGAACGCCAAGAAAGGACAATGGAACAGCAGCGGAAAAAACATGAGAGGGAAATGAAAGGTGGCCAGAAAAGAGACAGTCACATGATGGCCGTCAGATTGTCATGATGTAAAGTCAAGTGTGGTCATCATTGGATTATGTGGAGGACTTTGTGGGTACAGTGGACATACGGTGGACATACAGTGGGATGGGTGTTGGACATTATCACATTTTGTTCTGCATGTTGTAATCTGTTTTAGTGACATTGTCATCTTGTTTAATGTCATTGTGCTATCTTCCGAACAACTGAATGACATTTTTAGATGTGTTTCTGTCGGATATGGTGTCTGTCATCTGTGTTAATGTCAGGCATTAAACCGACCTGAAATCAACCCAAAGAATGTTTATGCATCTCGTGTTGGTGAAAATATTTTGTATGTTAAGTTCGGAATAAGATAACTTTTCCCATTTTGATATGCATCTTTCATCATCCCATCTTTCTGGTAACCTTGCTGTTTTACCATGGTTACTGCTTGAGGTAGTCACCAAGGCTGCTACCGGTTGCTACTAACTGGAGGTAGTAACACAGGGCTGTTTAATGTTATTATATCCGACTTAACCATGTTCACAACACATTCTGTTTACCTACATATCCAGTTCACACAGAGCTCCAGGTAAGCTGGACTTGTTGGAATAAATCACCATCACCCATTTATTTAACATGCTAATACAATGAGGAAAACAAATCAAAAGTGGCAGAATAAATTTGAGCTTCACGTGCACAAATACACATCAATTTTCAATTTTCAAATTCCCCAAAAGTAACAATGTAATTGCCCAATGTAGCTTTTGCACGTGTTTTGTATTTACCTGTATTTCTTTACTGATTTATATTAACTGATCCAATATGTTGAATGCAGGCTTCTCACAACATGAACCATACTAAGTGTAAATAAATTCAACAGGGACTCTGTCACTTTTCTTGTTAAGTCACAATAAGACTTTGCTCGGCTGTGGTTTTGTGCAACATGTTACAGACTTGGGGTGAGCACACAAACCAATGCAAATGAGAAGTCACATAAAACAGCAGTTTCTTGACATTTGATATCTCAAAAGTGTCTACTCATTGGCGTAATAATAAATAAGAGACTCCATCCATGGCAGTAAAACATATGGAATACCTAGAGAATATATCAAGCCCATTGTCAATGATGTGAATCTGACTGCAAGTAAAGCCTCAGTTGCTCACAACATCATCTGCAGACCTGTAAGTATGGTTACCCAGTGCAACAACAGCTGCACCACAGATGTTACAGCATCAGCAACTACAAATTTCGCCTTCAATTTAGTTTAGGCTTTTGTACCATCCAAGAACTGTATTTCAAATTTTGTTCTGATTCTTTTTTTCCATATCTTGAAAATGTGATGTTTGATATTAATATTTGACCTTTAGAATATAATGATATTATAATGATCTGGATGCATGAATTATGGTGATTCACGTATTCCTTGGTGAATTGACATAATACTAGTTATGTACGTCTGGCCTATCGGACAAAGCCTTCGCATGTTACAGGGAAGGACTGCCCAAGTTCCATTCCAGACAGGTGTAGTGAGCTGGGTGTCATGTCAGATTCTGGGAGAGCTGTTCCTGCTCTTGAGATCCCCGTCACTGAAGACAGCAAGATTGGAATATAGAATTTTGTTTATGTATTGTTTGACAAAGCTATTAGCAGTTTTCCAGCAATGTGACAGCAGTATGTAAATAACCAAGCCTGGACTAGGCAATCCAGTGACTGACATATATAATCATGAGCATCAGTCTACGCAATTAGGGTCAGCATCAACCAAGTCATCAAGCTGACCACCTTACCGCTAGTCGCTTCTTACAACAAGCATGGAAGACTGAAGACCAGTTCTAACCGGTATCTTCACAAGTAGAATATTGAACTATGATGGTACAATCATATATTTATTATGCTGCTTGAAATTGAACAGTTGACTTTTTGTTTGGGACTATTAATGTGTATTAAGTTGATGATTGGTTTTATCAGCTTCATCCATGAAAATGGTTACAGTGCTGAACTGAACATGGGGATTATGAAGACCAATGCATTGCAGCCACAGAAGGAAGAAACTATTTGTCCTTAGGGATGTGGATATTATTGTGGCATTTTTATTAAGTTGTGTGATCAGATTCCACTGCAGAAAATATCTCCAAAATATTCCTGCTCCCTTACTCCCATTGCTCAGTATGTATTTATGATGTCAGGTCCCGAAACAAACTGAAGTCTGAGTTTTCACTTAAGTTAGAGTTTTTACTCAAATTTGAGAAAACACAGGAAAATGCATTTCCCAGAATAAACTGAAATTGATGTTGAACTTTAACTGAGTAGACAATCTGAATTTGGTAGATAGGTTACTTGAGTTGTTTTGCCTTTTTGGTCTTAGAAACTCAGCTGTTTCAAATTGTCAAATTCAGTTTGAAATTTGAGTAAAAGTTTCTTCCAGGGAATGTTAAGGACAGTATGTTATGGCGTGCTACATTTTTCCCATCATAAACTATTGATTTCCCTCGTGCTAACCTAAGGACCTTGTGCTGTTCCTCAAATATTTCCAAATCAACTTGAATTGCAGAAATGTTCTATATATATCTTTACACATGGTACGCAGCCTAGAAATTCAAAATATTCATACATTTGGAAATATTTAAGCAACGACACAAGGGTCTGTGGTGCTAATGTGAAGCTGACTTGGACAGTTAAAGGAATGCAGTATCTATATATATTAGTCTGTTACAACTTGATAAATGATGGATATGAAATAAAAGAATTTTCACTTCATTAGTAATACACCATGTTACTAATAGTGAAAATGTATTGTGTGAAATGTGTTTTTGTCTCAGTAGTCAAAGTGAACTTGTATCATAGATATGCCATAAGCTTATTGGAGCTTATATGATATGCAGTGATTTGTCATCCATTTGTGGATGGTTAGATTGTCCACTAACTTGACTGCTCCAATCTAAAACCACTTTTCATATCAATGCCCACCTCGGAGGAGATGCATGTATTCAACGTTACCATGGCAGCAATGTAGGGTAGCAGCAGCATGAGGATAGGCAGTTTCTTCCGTGTAGTGAACATTTTGTTATCAAGAAATACAGACTCCATATAACCCTTCCAACTCTTTAAATCAGCTCCGCAAGAAATGTGGTATTTGATAAGTTATTTTTCCAAACATTTCTCTATGTTGTGCCCCGTTGTTCCATAGTTTAGAAGCTTTCATCCAAAATTAGGTAGGCATACCCCGTTACACTGTTAATACTCACGCAAAACTTGTTTAAAACTGAGCTGAACCAAACTCTCTCACTTTCTCATTGCATAGTGGCCTGGTTTTCTCAATTTAGTATATCCTTTATTATATCCTGATTAATTAATTTCAGTAGCAGTATTTGATCATATTTCTGTATTCATGTGGATCCCAGGCTTGTCGTAAGAGGCGACTAACGGGATCGGGTGGTCATGCTCCCTGACTTGGCTGACACATGTCATCGTATCTCAACTGCTAATGATGTTGATCACTGGGTTGTCTGGTCCAGACTCGATTATTTACAGACGCCGCCATATAGCTGGAATATTGTTGAGTGTGGTGTAAAACTAAACTCACTCACCCACTCACTCGTGTGGATCCAAAGGATCATTTTCACACCTGACCTTTTTTCATAGATCACTTTGGGCCTTTGATCTGTCAATTGTATTGTAAAATAAAGTCTGTTAATTGTATTGTAAAATAAAGTAGAGGTTACATTTATGTTTGATGTCAGTTTGACACAAATCCAATTTTTAAACCGGTCTGAGACCTCTACTGCAAACTTAAGGGGAGGCATAAGATGGCATGGTTTATTTCACTATTGTACATTGTAAGGGGGACAACTCCATTTGGTTTATGTGTTTTAACCAGCATTGGTACGGTTCACAGGCCCCCACTGCGGGTCAGAAATCGATAAACTAGGCCCCGGTGTAGTATCAACACCCCCTACTATATATATTATTAGTAGGGGGGTGTTGATACTAAACCGGGACCTAGTTTATCGATTTTCTGACCCGCAGTGGGGGGCCTGTGGTACGGTTGTGTAACGTTATTCAACCGCAGTCACTGTTAAAAGACTTGAGTTAGTGGGGTATATCAACTCACAAGGGGAAATAGCAATCACAAGAAACAGTGTTAATTGGGTCAGTTTCTTGGGGTGTTTTGTTGCGTGTTTTGATTTGTGGTTTTTTTTTCAGTTTTCGGGATTTTTGGACAGTACTGTATTCAACTCAACTGCCTCTGTTACCATCGTTTGAGGCAATGCGCTTTGAGCATACCTTCATGGCATGGATATAGCGCAATATAAGTGTCATTAGTAGTAGTAGTAGTAGTAGTAGTAGTAGTAGTCTGAGGAATGTTTCGGTGATGTGAGTTATGAGAGTGGTCTGTAAATAATCAGTCACTGTCTGGTCAAGAATGGATTAATAAGAGCAATGATGACAGCGGCACTAAAACGACATTCACTCATACTCACTGAAATTTCTATGGTATGGGTGTGTTTCAATGGTATAAAATTAACAATTTTAACAATGTAATTAACAATGTGTTCGACAAGACTAATGCATCGTCACCGTGCTTTCACTCTAACACTAAAGCACAGTAGAAGAAAGTGTTTTTGGCCCATTCTCCACTAAACGTGCATATAGGTGAGGGTGGGTGCTGAGAAATAAAGTATCTCATAGATTACCATTTGTTTAGGCAAGCTGCAGGGTAACGTCAGGGGAACATATATCTGAAGTGGCTGGACTGTGCGATGCTTGTGCTGGTTTTATGGTGGTCAACATTCATATACCCCTTTTTGTGTATGGACAGATACGTTACTACATCACTTGTTAGATGAGAGAACTATATGCAAAACAACATGCACATAACAGATATGAACGTATTTTATTGAATTGTTGACACATTTTATAGTACAAAACACATGTCAAGTGGGTACGTGTTGCACAAACAGTGTTTGGTTGAAAAGAACAAACAACTTCCTCTATATTCAATGATTACAAAGATAACATTTTCTTCATAAAAACGGGAATTGAACCAAACGCGTACATATTTCTACAGATGAGGCATTTGTCTGTGCACAATATGGTCAAAGAACAGAAAGATGAAAATATATGACCTTAACCTCTCAAAGAAACTATTTTCACCAAGAGTCAAATTGTCACGTATCTGTCACTCCCACGTCACGTATCTGGTTCACTATAAAACGAACATATATAAACCAACAATCCTTTAACCTTTAAACTAACATGTAGGAGATCAACGCAAGATACAACTAAACCAAAACCAGTGAACCCTTACGGATACAACAGCAGATGAAATCAGTAACGTATCTGTTCACATAGTGGTCTTGGCATTTGTGACGGACTGAACAAGATCTGGTGCCATTCTGTAATACCTTCTGGATCGCCAAATGGACGTTACTTCAACTGACATGATTATGTCATGGAATGCACACCAGATGGCATCAAGATGGTCTGGCCATTGCAGTCAGATTTTACCTTGAACAGTTTTCTTTGTCATGAAAGATACAAAGGCATCTGCATCCTCCATATCAACCTCAAGCAATTTTCCTGGAAACCAATCATCATCATACATCACAGCTAGCATACCCTTCCAGTCCCCCCCTCCCCTCACACGCGCGCGCGCATTTGGGCGGTGTGAGACAACCTCTATAGACGTAGACTCAGTATCTTTTGGCAGAACCCCAGGTGTATCTGATGACGTGGATTGCTGTAGTTCTGGAGTAGATGTAGTGTCTGGTTCAGTTACGTTGGTTGTTACTGACGTCAGGTCATGGGCAATCCAGCCGTTACATGGTTGATTCCATTTCAGTTCAGACAGTTGTCACAGTAGCAAGATGTCTCTCGAACATAGATAACCCTGTCTCCAGAAGACTGTACATCATGAATCTTCATAGTTCCAGGGACTGTTTTAGATTTCAGTGAGGCACTTAGGCTGCTGCAGCATCATACTCACCCTGGGAGTAGAAAATATACCGGATTGATTTGTCATTCCCAGATGCCCATTTGTAATAATCACGGACATCCTGAATTGTAGCTTTACCTTGTTTGATAACCTGTGCTGCCATACGTTTAGGTGTCTCCCTATCCCACCGCATGCATCTTTACCATGTCCACACTCACAATAATTCCACCTGGCTCGGATATTGTCAAAATATTCTGTGTGCTTTCCAATGATGTTGAACATAAACTTGTTTCTGTACAGGGAAGATGGACCATCAGTCAAGTAATGGACATCCGCTTTGGATAGAAAGCTTTCACTTCAGGTATCAGCTTCTGTAAGATGGTGTACACAGCATTAGCATTATGATGGCTGACATCTGACACATAGACCAAGTTCTTATGAATTAGGTCGTGTGATTCCTGACGCCATATAGTTGGAATATTGCTGAGTGCGGCGTAAAACTTAACTCACTAAACTGTGTCACTGCTGAAGTAAACATCAACCGGGTGTAATGAAGCTTCTGTAGCATTCCAGTATGCATACTGAATTCCATTCATGGTGTGGCATATAAACTCCGCAAAGTCCATCTTTATCACGGCGTGTCCTTGGGGCAAATTCATTTTCAGATCATGGAGCGCTTTGTATTGTGGAACTACTCTTTCAGTATGTTCTAAGAAGAGGTGGTACTGATGGGGTTGATACTGATGGGGTTGATACTAATGGGGTTGATACTGATAACGTGAAATGCTGCAGTACTGTAGTAGCTGTAGTGTCTGGTTCAGTTACGTTGGTTAGCATCACAATTCTTCTTGCGTTCGCGATAGGCTTTTTGAATTTCAAACCCTGTTTTGGCCATGACTGTTTGAACTTGAAATTAAAACCCCATTTAGACTTTAGAATCCGTTGATGGTTATAAGTTCATGCTTTAACATCTAGGAAAGTTAGTAAAATCTGATAGAATGTGCGGTAGAAAATGTGCAACAGATACGTTACCAAATGCAACAGGTACGTTACCATGAAAGACTTCAGTAAATCATCCATGCATGTTTATGCAGTAAGCTAATTATAATAGCAGTTTAAAAATAAACTTTGGATTATATAGTTGACGTAACAAAACCCCAATATAGCATGTTTTACAGCGTTTAGACTGGTGATGATACAAGATTGCATGGATAATAAATACTTACCTTTCAGATTGATGACGTTCCTTCTCATGCGTCCTTCCTTGGAACCGGAAATGCTTCTGTGATACAAATATCGTTAATTATCACGTCAAACGTGAGTTCTTAGCGCGGACAATTCAAATTTTGACACGGTAGTGACGTATTGGTAACGTATCTGTTCTTAACGTATCTGTTGGACATAAAATGCATATGTGGACAAACAGTTAAAGACGATTCATTCCAAATCAGGAGGCAACATATGTAACGTATCTGTTGATATTTTCGCGTACTTGTTACAGTTGAGAGTATTCTCTCAAATGTAGTAATATTGTTAAAGCATGCGTCTTTCCACTGATTGTTAAATATTGTTTTATATTCATTTGCGGTTGAGATGACATTATAATTATTGCTATATACTTTCAATTTTGATTTCATAATGCAATATGATTTCAGGTAAGGCATCTGTCAATTATTTTGGAGACACCTACTCTGAGCCTGGCTTGAAAAACACTGACATACTAAGGTATTCGTATCGTACTATATATATTCTTATGTTATCGAGACAACATTATGATCTAATATTTAGAAAATTTGTTCACTATTTCGAATATGACTTACATTATTGTAACTGCTCTATTGGTTAGCGACATGCATATGTATATAAAA